CACACACACACACACACACACACACACACACACACACACACACACACACACACACACACACACACACACACACACACACACACACACACACACACACACACACACACACACACACACACACACACACACACACATTTATCGCATTATCATACACGTTCCTGGCAATATTACAAACGTTACTAGGTTGATCTCTATACAAACGTTTTTGGATATTGGACTATTTAGGGCGAGGGAAAGGCAAGGTGCGTTCTATTGATATGACTGTGTAATCGTAAATCACTTAAAGGTGTGCATTAATCCGTTACAGTAGTGTAAGCTGGAAATTGGAGTCGGATACATTATAGTGCCTGGCCAGTCTGTACAGAATCACATCTAAGGTTATTAGGTAGGTAATCATCTATAATTGCATGGTGTTGACGTGAAGACTTCTGTAATATTTGGTAAAATCGCGATAATAATCTCTCGTTTGAAAACATACCGGCTGTAATGTAAATATTATAGGTGCCAGACCCGCCTTCTGTCACAATAAGGTGCGTGGACTTTTAGAAATACTTTGGCACGTTCTACGATGATGGATGGTTAATTCAAATACAAATTCAGTGAAGTATCGAGTGAAGACACAGAATACCGTCAACCATAGCAACATTATGTTTAACACAATTAGCTGCGACGCCCAAATTCAATCGACCTAAATGCAAACGCTGTCTACCCGAGACGTCAACACGTAACATGTATCAGCAGGATGTATATGTATCAGTAGGATGTATATGTGTCATTCTATTGCTGTTGTCTGCTTGTTGTTGCTTGTCTGCTTGTCTGCTTGTTGTCTGCTTGTTGTCTGCCTGTTGTCTGCTGCTGTAAATCAGTTCTGCTAAATCTCAATACCTTCGCTAACCCTGTATAAACCCTAACCCTAACTCGTCAGAAATGTCGGCTGCTTAGTGTCGCTCATCCAAGAATATTTTATATTTTCCATTGCATTTATTGCATCATGCTATTCTTCTCAAATAACCCCGTACACTGTATGTGCTGACTTATAACAGAAGTTTGAATCTTATTTTCAAGTAATGGTGAGAATGGTAGGCAATTTCCTTGAGTTAATTTGCCAATTCCGTTATTAAGACCGCTAAAACGCCGAGCATTTTAATCGAATTATCGCATAAAATAACAAAACGCTATCCTTACATAGAATTAACATTAAGACAATAACAAAACAACATAATCTACACGCTGCGAATACCCGTTAGGTAATGTATGATGCGTGATCTTCCCCGTGTGTAGTAACCGCGTGGTGGGATGTAAGTCAGTGGGGGATTCTATACATTAGTCACATCACTACGCAGCATTTATTACCTTGATGATCAATACCAAACTCAACGTATAACATATCTACGTCAAACCTATCTTTTGAATAGTTTATGATCAGCTTCAATTGCTTAACTTCTCTTCTTTTTTTTTATTAATAAAAAAGGAAATGTTATTTCTTAATACCCTGCACATAGCAGTACAGAAACACCAGGCTTTGCTTGTACCTATATATGTACTACTTCAACCCTTTTCCTACTTTGTTTTAGGAATGTTTATATTTATAAAAATATAATGGTAAGGCACATTACTTAAAGGAGGCGTATCTTGGATCGTTTAACTCCGAAAACTGCTAGGCACATTAGCCTTTGGCCGAATTTGATCCAATTTCCATCCATCAGGTCTTACAACAGCAGGCAGTCTCTTAGTCCCGTTGCTCGTCCATTACATGCTTAATAACGACCGTGCAGGAGGTCGTCTAACTGCACTAATAGTAAATTTTAACGAGGACACCCACTAATAGTGTCTGTGTAGGCCTATATAACCAGTCCAATCATATTAGGTATGGAAAATGTACTTTAAGAAAGGTCTGGGATGAATTACGTCTATATTACTGCAATAGTTTATCTCTGCGCTGTTTTATGGACATTCATGGTAAATTTCATTCTATGTCAAATTTCAAAAAAGTGTATCCTAAACGGACCACTCCGTAAACTGCTAGGTCTACTACTAACCCTTGATCTAACGCGATCTAATTTCCAACAACCGAATCGCGGCTTTTCATAACTAGCTGTTAACGACATGTAGTGCCCTGTCTATAATGGCGCAACAAATTAGGACGAGCCCTCCGAAGCCACCCATCCTTAAATTACGATTACGAGAAATAAGGTGACCTGTGGCAGCTGTGCAAAAGTCCATGGCTTTGCTGCACTAGTACCTATATTATCCAGGTTGTATCAGATAACTGTTGATACTTACCTGGTAGACCTACACTGACGCCTACTGATGTCACCGCATTAACATGTGTATTCATCGCATTTTGCATACTCAATGCTTTGATGTTCACTGAGCGTTGCAAATGGCTGTTAGATCCAACAGCCGTAATTTAACGTGATTGATGTGACAGAGTGTATGTAACTGGCACTAATACCTAACGAACTCTATGCCTACATGGCTACTGGGCCATGATATGGACTTTTCCTATGTCACAGCACATGTAGAGTAGCTTACACCTGCACCCAATCTGTCCAACACGAAATGAACGTCCTTAGAATTTGCGTATTTTTATAAGTGTTAAAATTTTGAAATTGCGCGAAGGATGGATCTTGCTGGATATTATTCAATTGTAGATACGGGTCATGCAGCAACTGGCAGTTCATCTAGCATTATGGTCTTGGCTACATTCATCAGTAGAATGTTACTGTTGCTCATCAATCAGCCTGCACACGCTTCCCATCAACAGGAATATCTGACCATGCATTCATCAACTTACCAACGTAGTAATGGCTACACAATACTTGCTTTGTAATATCGAAACTGATTAATCTATTGGGCTATGAGATGCCGATTTCATGTATTGTCAATGTTATGCAAGCTATATTATATATACATATATATATATATATATATGTGTGTGTGTGTGTGCGTGTGTGTGTGTGTGTGTGTGTGTGTGTGTGTGTGTGTGTGTGTGTGTGTGTGTGTGTGTGTGTGTGTGTGTGTGTGTGTGTGTGTGTGTGTGTGTGTGTGTGTGTGTGTGTGTGTGTGTGTGTGGTGTGTCAGTGTGCGTGTGTGCGTGTCGTGTGCGCGTGTGTGTGTGTGCCTGAGGCGTGCGTTGCCGTGCGTGCGTGTGTACGTGCGTGTGTGCGCGTGCGTGTGCGTGTGCGTGCGTGTATATATTTGTGTGTGTGTGTATGTGTATGTGTATGTGTTGCTGTGCGTGTATATATTTGGGTGTGTGTGTGTGTGTGGTGTGTGTGTTGTGTGTGTGTGTGTGCGGTGTGTGTGTGCGTGTGTGAGTGCGTGTACGTGTGTGTGTGGGCGTACACGCGTACGTATATATAGATATATATATATATTGCCACACAAGCTGTGTGCTGCTGTGTCGGGGGAGCTGCAAGCTCCAGAAACACGTGATCGCTTACATCAGTAAGAACATCTGTTACCGCCAGCTGAGGTCAGGCCGCCAAATTACTTCGACTAGTGAACATTCTTCCAAGACGATATACTATTTGCTAGTTTATCCCAAGTTAGTAACGGTTCGTTGTAAGGTTATTGGTGCTCAACAGCCCCTGTAAACATTGTCAGCCTACATACAGCGTATTGTGCATACACCGAGCCGTATCATTTTCGGTCTGTATGCCGAGTGTCATGTGCTGACGGCACGCTAAATGATAACTTTTATCTAAAGTTGTAAATGTAAGATTATATATCCATAAAGCAGTATATATTATTAATATACTGCAAGAAGGGAACCGAGCCCTATACATACCTTCCCCCGAAGCTGATGACGTATATATTAACTAAGCAACTCGGAGAGCACAGACCTCCGCTCAAGGCCAGCTGAATTCTGTCGAGCTGGTGAAAACTTTAATTAATTTAATTAAATAATTAATTTAGATCCCGGTATGACGACCAAATTAACATTCTAAGTTACCGATTCTGACGTATCGCTGAAAATTTTATTAAATTAATTAATTTAATTAATTCAATTGATCCGGATCACCACCAAAATGTAATCATTTCTTAAGTTACCCGCATTTCTGACCTATCATGAATGTTATAATTAATTAAATTGGATCAGGATCACGCACCAAAATTCTTTCAATTCTAAGTTATGCTCATTTCTGACCTATCCTGAAAATTTTATGACAATCCGTCCATAACTTTTCAGTTGTGCGTACACAAACCAAACCCACAAACCAACAGAACCCACAAACCCCAAAGCGCACAAATCGGAACAAACACACGCCGGTGAAACATAACTGCCTGCCAACCCACTTGCGGAGGTAAATAAAATGGCCGTGGTAATGTATTGGTTAGCGTTGGATCGCCGCTTAATTGGGCGAGGTTTAATATGCAATGTGGAAATTCCAGGATCGCCAGAAAAATAGTACTAACCTAGAATCAATTAAATCGTTCTAATCTTCGTATCCTTCTTGCAAGGAATGTTTCCGACAAAGAAAGGAAACAAACGAGTCTTACATACTAAAGGTCATAGCCTCCACCGACGCTACTGCTGTACGGCTTGTTTATATGGTGTGTATTCTTTTCATTAATTCGGATTCAAATTCATTACGATTGCGTGAATTCGAATGATTCGATGCTCAATTCGATGCGTGAATCGAATCATTCGATGCGTGAATCGAATGATTCGAATGGCATTCATTCGATTACGGAATGCGAACATTCGATTCACGCATCGTATCATGTGATTCAAGTGCATCGAGATCATTCGATGCTCATTCGATGCCGCGAATGCGATATGATGTCGATGCGCGGAACGAATGATTCGATGCAGTCATTTCGATTCACGCATCGATTGATTCGATGGCAGTCATTTCGATGCGTGAATCGAATCATTCGATTGCGTGAATCGAATCATTCGATGCGTGAATGGCGAATCAATTCGATGGTATCATTCGATCACTATGCATCGAATCCATTCGATTCACGCATCGAATATGTCGATTCACGCATCGATCCATTCGATTCACGCATTCGAATGTCATTCGATTCACGGCATCGAATGATTCGATGCATTCATTCGAATGCGTGAAATCGATATGATTCGATCGTGAATCGAATTACATTCGATTGGCGTGAATCGAATGATGGCATCAATCATTCGATTCGCGGCATGTCGATACATTCGATTCAACGCATCGAATGATGCATCGAATGATTCGATGGCGTGAATCGAATGATTCGATGCGTGCAATCAAATAATGATGCGATAAATCGAATGTTGAAGTGTGATAACGTCGAATTGTTATAGTGTGATAAGATCGAATGTTATATGCGATAAAACACCATAAAACAAAAATCGATTATGACACAGAAAACAGCCATAAGTTGTATGTC